TTGCTAGGTTCCATCAAAGCTAATGTACAGTATTTGAATTGATAGACCAGGCATTTGGCAAATGGCAATCCATAAACTTTGGTTAGCATTAGCAAACATTTAACTGATTTGTCCAGATTTTAAAAGGGTAGAGAAAAGTGGCGTATGTGAATGTGGTAGTAGTGTGAAGCCCTTTGAGTGGTCAATATGACTAGAAAAACTATTCCTAAATTTGGTCAATTTACAATTTAAACTAAAAATACTACATCTATCAGTTACTTGTGGATTAAGTTAACTAACATGTGCATCAATTTGCTGAAATTAAGAATACATTCTGTATAAAGCATACCCTAAAACAGGGGTCTTCAACGTTTTCCAGGCCAAGGACCCCCAAACTGATGGCGAGATGGAGCGGGGACCCCCTAGTTATATATATATTGTATTAAATTGTGTTAAATTAATCTGATTCTATAGTCACTCTATTATAGAAGGAGTCATGTAATTTGGCAGTGTGATTATTAAAGTATTTCAGGGACAGATCTGGGTATTGCAGAGTAGCAGGAAAATGCGACCGCCTCCTTCGAGTCAGAACAGAAGGACATACCGGCAGAACTGCTGAACTACCAAAATCCAGATGTTGGCCATTGATGCAGCTACTAAATAAGTAGTGTTAGACCGATACCAGTAGCAGGTGGGGCCCCGATCCAGCACTCAAATGGTGATATCGGTTATCGGCGAGTACCAACAAATAGGGCACCGACACCATTTTGAGAGCCTAAAGTTTATTCACCTACTGTCACCCATTCAAGGTAGGCAATAAAAAGTTGTATTGGATTCACTTTGTATTTCTTTTTCCTGCTAAACAAAGGTAGGCATCAGCTTGACAAAGCCATGATGGCAATTATTTTACATCCAAGTAGTATGCAGTTCTTCATATATGTACACACACCAGACATGGGCAATGTGGAGTCAACAAGTCATCTCCATGTCATGTATTTAATCTACCCAGCCAATCAACCAGGTGAGTCCAATCTTCACCGTGAATTAACCTGTGCAGATTGGACTCACCTGGTTGATTGGCTCGGTAGATTAAATACATGACATGGAGATGACTTGTTGACTCCACATTGCCCATGTCTGACACACACACATCAATTTCAAACAGATGGTATCGGTATCAGCCAATACTGCACAGCCAGGTATGCGGTATTGGTATCGGGGCCAAAAAATGGCATCGGCGCAACACTATAAGTAAGTCCCGACCATGCTGTAATACCTTGAGGAAAACCAATATCTTGGAGAGTAGGGCTTAAAAGCATTGCTAACACCAGTAGCACTGTCAGCAAGGACATTCTTAAACTCCAGCTTTAGCTTACTCCAACAGCCACATTGTTTTCCAGCCCAATTTTAACTTCTCAAATGTCTTCTTGTACCTTTTTACACATGATCTTGATCTTGCAAACATGCTGGAAGTTCCACACTCGCTCACCTTCATTGCTTGGTCTTGTTGACCGATTGTATGCATGCTGTCATGTTGGGATTAAGATGTCTAACCCACATGCAGAGAACACTCAGGAGACAGAGAAAAAGTTCAAAGGTTTATTCACAAGGTTTTACAAATGTGCACTGGAACTGGGTTGGTCCAACTGGTCACGGGGGGATCACCACTATGGAGAACAAAGTGATTAGAGGATTTCCAGGGATCCAGTCGTTAGTCTGATGATCGAGTTAATACCTGCTTTGGAGGCTGAATATATCAGCAGGAGGTGGGTACCCTGAGGGTCCAGAGGTTTGTCGGCAGGCAGAGGGCTGAGGGCTAAGGCAGAGACTGATCGAGTGCAGGCAGGCAGATACCAGAACAGAGTCACTTCCAATGCTGGCAGGCAGATTCCAGAACTGAGTTACTTCCAGGTTTCAGGTTTTCTGACAGATCTGGTTCTGCAGGCAGAGAGAGAGAAATAAACTGGATCAGGCAGGATCACACAAAAACACAGAGAAAAGATCAGGCAGGTTTGGCTCAGGTCTAACTGTTCCATTACTGGCTAACACTCTGGCACTGGAGTGTCAGTCTCCGCCTCCTTAACCCCTTGCTCACACTGGCTCCGGTGCGGTTACCGAGCCGACGGAGAC